AATTTGGTTAATAATAAAGAATCTAAAAAAGGATTGACTAATAAATAAATAGTCATTACCCCTCTATTTACAATACAATGTATGAAGGGGTTTTTAGTGTTTTACCTTCATAAACTCGGCCAAAATCTTTTTTTGTTTTTGTTTGATTTGAACTCGGATTCGTTGACTTGGGGACGAACAAAGAAGCTTCTAGAAAGGTTCCTAACCCCTAGAGCTAGTGGCAGCCACATGGCGGTTGGGCCCGTCATGGATTTCTTTGTGAATATGGGTTGTTTGGGCCACAAGAGAGTTTCTGGATGAATTTGGGCTAGATTGGGCATGCTTGTGTTAGGGATATTTTTTAATTAGTTTTTATATTTACTTAACTGTATTAAGTGGCCTAAATGGTTTACGTGGTGGCTCCTCAATTGTAGCTAGGTTTGGTATCTTTCTGTTGTAACGAGAGTATTTAACACACTCTCCTAATCAATACAGATCACATCATTCTAGCATTGTCATGGTATCAGAGTTGATGCTTCTGATCTCCTTAACCTCTTTTCCTAAAACCTAGACTACAAACACGTCTTTCTTCTTTATCTACCTTGCCCTTCTACTACCGACCTAGCTACAGCAAAACCAAGAGGCTCTTCTTTCCTTTTCACGACTCTTTCTTCCTCTCTTCTCTGCTGCAACTATGTTCGGTGCTTCAGGCGAATCAGTCATCAATCTTGATGATTCCAGCATCATTATCACACTGAATCCAGCTTCCCAGCTTCCCATGAAGCTCACCGGGGACAATTTTCCAACCTAGTGTGCTCAATTGATTACTCTCCTTCGCGGCCTTGATCTTCTCAAATTTCTCGATGGCACGCATCCTGAGCCGGCTGAAACTGCGGCCCCTGCCGTTCGCAATCATTGGTACAGGCAGGATCAATTGCTTATTTACTCTATCCTCGCATCAGTTTCTCAGGGTGTCTCTCCTTATGTCTCTGCCGCTCCATCCTTTCGTAAGGCCTGGGCAAATTTGGAACGTGTGTTCGCTGGTCAATCCCATCAAAGGGTCATCAATCTCAAAGGCAAGCTTCTCACGGAGGTCCAAGTAGCACGTCCAGTCTTTGTCTACTTACAAACTATGTGCACCACTGATGCTGAGTTGGCGCTGATCAATGCTCTGGTTACAGACAAAGATTTAATTCTTCATATTCTTTGTGGGCTGCGTGAAGAATACAACGAGATTTCTGCTGCTCTTCGTGCACGAGACACTACTATCAAATTGGAGGATCTCAACGATCGTCTTGTTGAGTATGAAGCGGACCTAGCTGGTGTTCGGGTAACTCCTGTCTACTATGGTCAAGATCCTCGTCGCCCGACCAGTCCGCACTCCAACTGCGCCCCTTCTTCTCCGCGTGGTCCTGGAGGCTATTTCTCTAGTCCGGCTGCTCCTTCTCTCCTTGGTCGACCCCAACTGCTCTGTCAAATTTGTGACAAGCTTGGCCACTCTGCTAAAGATTGCTATCGTATCATCGGGAGCCCTCAGGCTCATCATACCACGACTGCTGCTTCTTCCTCGGGGTGGCTGGTTGATTATGCTGCCACCAACCATATGACTCTAGATCGCGGCTCACTCTCCTTATATACCACTACAATGGTCTAGACGAGGTGCTCATTGATAATAGGATAAGTTTGCATATTTTCCATATCAGCGATTCTCATTTGTCTTCTCCTTTACGGTGTCTGGATCTTCATAATGTCTTATGTGTCCCTTCAATCAAGCGTCGTCAGCTTTCTGTTGCGCAATTATGTAAATCTACTCCTGTTTCTGTGGAATTCTTTTCTGATTGCTTTGTTGTGAAGGATCTCACCACGGGGGCGCATCTACTTCGCGGCCAGAATAGAGGAGATGTCTATGAGCTGCTATCGGTGACTCAACCTGTTCAGCTGGCGCTGACAGCAGAACGGATTCCCTCGTCGACCTGCACAATCGGCTTGGCCATCCCCATTTCAAGCTTCTCTCTCGTGTTTTGCGTAATAACACTCTCCCTATTATCTCTTCCACTTCTCCATCTTCATGTGAATCTTGTTCATTCCATAAAAGTCACAAACTTCCTTTTTCTATTTCTAGCTTGTCCAGCACTCGACCATTTGATTTGTTATACATGGATGTTTGGGGGCCTTCGCTTTTCTTTCTCATGACGATGATTCCTATTATTTGGTGATTGTTGATTATTTCACACGTTACTCTTGGCTTTATCCTCTGTCACGCAAATATGATGTGCATCATGTTTTCCAAACATATAAAGCTATGATTGAAACACACCACTATTCGTCGTATCTACAGTGATGGTGGTGGTGAGTTTCAAAAGCTATGGTGATGGCCTATCTTACAATTCAATGTGAATAATGCTTTCTTATAGGGCTCTCTGGCTTAGACTGTTTATATGACACGTCCGCCAGGCTTCCGTGATCCCAACAATCCTGATCATGTCTGCTGCTTGTTTCGGGCGCTCTACTGTCTTCGACAAGCTCCTCGTTCCTAGTATACGGTTGTATCCACTTTTCTCTAGGAAGAAGGCTTTTTCTAGTCCAAGTGTGATGCCTCTTTGTTCATTTATCACCGCAGCGAGGTCACTCTTTACTTCCTGGTCTACGTCAATGATTTGTTGCTCACCGACAATTTTGCTCTTGCTCTCGCCAGCTTCCAACGACACCTAGTTGCTCGCTTCTCTCTCAAGAGTCTCGGCAACATCGGCTATTTCCTGGGTATTGAGGTTCTCCACACCTCTATTGGTTTTCTATTCTATCAACATAAGTTTATTCAGAATATCCTTCAGCGCTATGGGATGCTCGACTGTCACCCTGCTTTAGTCCCTTATCGTCTGCTGTCAAGCTTCTTCTTCATGATGGCTCTCCTCCAGCCGATCTCACTCTACAAACAAGTCTTAGGTTCTTTCCAATATTTGCTCTGTACCAGGCCTGACATTGCATTTGTCGTCAACAAATTGTCTCAACTCATGCACACTCCTACCCAGCTTCACTGGCAAAATGTCTAGCACCTGCTGTGTTACCTCAAAGGCACGGTCGACCTTGGCCTTCGTCTATCCCCTGCCACGACGTCTTCTCTTGTTGCGTTCGCCGACTCTGACTAGGTAGGCCATCCTACTAATCGCACTTCCACCATGGCATATCTTGTTTATTATGGTGGTAACCTCATCTCCTGGAAGTCCAAGAATCAGCGCTCTATTGCTCGCTCCAGCACTGAAGCCGAGTACCGGGCTATGGCCCATGGAACCGCTGAGCTACTTTGGGTATAGAATCTTCTGTCTGAGCTTCATTATCCTGTCTCGTCGTCTCCTGTTCTTTATTGTCACAATCTCGACGCTGTCAATTTTTTGGCCAACCCAATTCATCACTCCCGCATGAAGCACTTAGCGCTAGACTACCTCTTCGTCTGCGAGCTTGTTCAGTCTGCCGCCCTCCGTGTTCAACATATTCCCACAGCCCATCAACTTGCTGATTCATTAACGAAGCTGCTCTCTATCACTCGCTTCCAGTTTCTCCGGTCCAAGATTGGTGTCGTTCCCTCCTCCATCTTGCGGGGGCGTGTTAAGGATATTTCTTAATTAATTTTTATATATAATTGTAGCTAGGTTTGGTATCTTTCTGTTGTAACGAGAGTATTTAACACACTCTCCTATTCAATACAAATCACATCATTCTAGCATTGTCAGCTTGGTCTTGCGGCGGTGGGACAGCGGCCGAACCAACCATGGTGGGTTTTCAATGTTGGTTCTGATTTTTTTTTATCAAGCTTCTCTTGGGCGTAAACAAGAACAGGACATTGAAGTTCGTGTAGCCAAAGGTAACATAGTCTAGTGGTGAAACCACAGGACCAATTAAGCTCTGGATGTGAGAAGTCCTGAGTTCGATTGTGTGTGTGCGACTGTGTGTGTTTACTGTTTAGTAAGCTTGCCAGTGTAGTGTGTAATAGTTTTTGTTCACATCGAACAAGAAATCCCATGAATCCGGTCTTGTTTCGTTTCTCATTTTTGCTTCGGTTTCGATATTAATCTTCCGTTTCCAGCATCACCGGCTTCAACTGCCAGAGCCGGCAACTTACCACCCTTTTCAGTAACAAATCACACTCCAAATGAGGAAGGGAAGCTCTCTTCGTCCTTCAACCCTTCAATCAGTTAATCAACAGCTTTGGTGCATTATGATCATACATCAACAAGCAAGATAAAAGAAAAGAGCAGCATAAGTGGCTAGTGCTGACTAGGGGCAGGGGCGAGTTGGTTACCATGGTAACCGTTTTCACCGGTACTATTTGGATAATTTGGTTTGGTTAATTTGGATAATTGGTTTGGTTTGGTTAAAGTTTTTAGCTTGTTTGGTTTGGTTTCAGACACTCCTAACCAGTCAAACCAAATTAACCAGTTAAATAATTAGTCATATATCTAACATATATTATATACACATAATACTTTGCATAACCACTCAAGAGTTAACGTTCATCCCTTTTAGACTCATAAAATATAAAGCTCAATATTGCTCATATAGTGTATATTTGTATATGTAAAGTCTAGACCACAACATATGGACGCCTAATTTAGATAAATTTCATACATTATGATGAACGAAAACTTGAAAAGAATGTCATTTCCAGCCTATGATAATTGCTAAGAGAGTAAGTCAATTTACACAAACACAACAATTCATTAACTCATATCATTGTGATAATTTTTTGTTAGGTGAATACTTCTATACTAATCGTAAGATAATTGTCTTAGTTGCATGTATTTTTGTTAAGGGTCAACTATAACTACGTGTTGATTGTTATGTTTTATTCATTATATAAATTGCGAATTGTTGCATTAACCGGAAAATTTTCATCGTCAATGATAATGTGATTTTATATTGGTTAATCTGATTAACCAATTAACCAAACCGATTAAACTTTAGTTTGGTTAATTTGGTTGTTGTATTAGTATGGACGGTTTGGTTATGATATTGTATTCCATGGTTAACGGAATTTAGCCTTATTTGGTTTGGTTATAACCATGGTAACCATTTGAACACCCAGACTGCCAATGGACAACCGATTAGTGCCCGAATTGAAATAACAAGGATTAAGATGTTGTGGAAGAGTTTGGTATCATCACTAATTCACTATCATCCTTTTGACTCATTTAAGAATTACAGACACTGTACCAGAAAACGGTTCATTCAACAAGTTGACACTAATTTCCAAACAACAAGATATTGACAATTGATTCATGAATGGGAAATACCTCTTCCAAAACTCATCTGGACGAAGAAACCAAACCAATTGTACACCAATTCTACAACTAGCCGCCATTCTGTGTCATATCCACATTGGTTGCCTTCATTCTTCAGCTTCGAAAACCCTCATGACAGTAATCGATCACAACATCTCTCTTATGAAATCTAGGTTTAATGTATCCCTGACAATGAGGAACATCCCGATAAGCAAAACCAACGTAATCCCTGATGACATAATTCGCTGCTCCACTTCCAAAGGTAGCTTCCTCCCACCTCTCGCTGCTTCCACAGCAATCAATGCCAAGGACCCTCCATCCAGAGCAGGCAAAGGGAGAAGGTTAATCACAGCCAAGTTCAAATTGAGCAGTGCCGCGAATTGGTATAGCCCATCAACATTCGACCGAGCAACCTCAGCACCAACTGCAATGATAGCTACAGGGCTTGCAACTTTACTTGCAGTCTGTGAGAAGTTCATCACAGTCTGCCTCAAGCTATCTAGAACGCTGTAAGTAAGACCCACAAATTCCCTTCCAGAAAAGTTAAACGCATCCATGATATTCCTAGCTACAACCTTATCGATTTTGAAATTCGGCGACAACTGAACTCCGATTCGACCAGTTCCATCAAAGCTCTCATCTGGGGTTACCTTAATCTCAAAATCCTGCTTCCCTCTCTCCACTTTCAGTACCACGTCTCTCTTGGGGTTCATCTTAATGACCTCGACAACCTCAGAGACCGAATTAACCCCGGGTTTAAGCACTTCCGAACCATTGATAGAGACGATAACATCACCAGGAAGCAACCCATCTCGAGAAGCAGCAGAGAAGGGTCGAACTTCAGGGACAAGAACACCAGGAAATGCCTCTTGAACAGGCAAACCAACCGAACAAACTTGAACCAAGATAATCGCGTAGGCGAAAATGATATTAGCAACTACACCAGCTGAAATCACTAATACCCGGTCCAGAATCGGCCGATTCTTGAGCAGATTCTCGTCGTCCGCTGGAATATCGCTATTGGGATCGTTATCAGGGAAACCCACGAACCCACCTAAGGGGAAAGCTCTAAGCGAGTATTCCACATTGTTGGAATTGAACTTGGCTAAAATCGGACCGAACCCAACTGCGAATTTACTTACGTGGATCCCCTGGAGGGTGGCGGCGAGGAAGTGGCCGCTCTCGTGCACGATTATGATAGCTGTCAATACTCCGGCTGCTTCGAAGACCGACTCCAAGTTGCCGAAATCGAGTCCTGCAATGGCGGCGCAGGAGGGGAAATCGCGCTGTCGGCCGCGGTGTGGGTATGTCCGGAGGAATGTATAGTTGACCTTCTTCTTGGAGAGGGGATTGGGGGCGAGGAGAGGGTATGAGAAATGGGTTCTGGGTCGTTTTGGAGTTGAGAATCTGCAGGAAGGAGAGGAAGCAGTGGGCAGAGGTGAAGAAGAAGAAGCAGAGAAGGAAACTGGCATGGTTAAAATGGCTGCTGTCGTTTATTCTCCTCTCTATGTGAAGAAATTTGAGAGAGGGGGAAGAAGGAAGAGGTTCGAAGAAGAGGAGAGGAGCATTTGGATAAAGCCATTGCAGGTTGAATAGAAAAAATATAAATTTGGGCGGTCTGTGGAGGGGAGGTGATTTAGATGTCTCCCTCCATTGCCTTCCACACAAGATGGGGTGATTTTTATGATTACTATGAAAAATGCCCAGTTTAGTAAATTCGCATTGTTCGTACCTGGTAAAAGCCTAGTTGTGTTTTCTCATTTGAACCGGTTAACAAGCCCAGTGCAATTTGCTGTGTTTTCGGAAAAAATTACCAACGCTTAATCACATGGTTAGTCACTGAGATTATAAAAAAACGTTTAAATTTGGTCACACGAAATATTTAAATTCATTGGTGGTACTTCAATTTACTGAAATCGTTCACGTTTGGTCACTCCCCATCCAATTCCAGCTAATCTCATATGGTATCAGAGCGAAAGATCTAGGTTTCCGCAAACCCTAACGCCGCAGGCGCCGCCATGGCGAGCAGTCCTCCGAATACACCACCCAGTGGAGTTGCAGCATCTACAGGAATGGCGTCTGACGTGCAATTCGGATCTTTCAACCAGCAGACACAGCAACCAGAAACAATCGCCTTCGGTAACCCATTTTACCTCAACCCGAACGAGAATATGTGCCAATCTTTAGTTTCTGAGCTGTTTGATGGCACAAATTATACAATGTGGAGTAGATCGATCCAAGTTGTCCTGAAAACCAAGCATAAGCTGGGTTTCATTGATGGAAGCATACCCATTCCACCACGCGGCACAAATCGCTTCACCTTGTGGGATGCTTGTAATACCCTAGTTCTATGTTGGACTCAGAACTCTATGAACAAGGATCTGAAGAGAGCCATGCTAACCCATACAAATGCTAAGGCATTATGGGATGAATTGAAGAGACGTTTTGGCCAACCAAACGCTCTCAGAATCATCAATATTGAGGATGAAATTGCTGCTTGTAAACAGGGAACCAAGACCATCAATCAGTACTTTATCCAAGTGAAGGGTCTTTGGGAGGAGTACCTTGAGTACAGTCCAGTGGTTCCTTGTCCCTGTGTACCTGGAAACCCACTTCCATATCCTGCAGTAGCAGCATTTATACAGAAACAAGAGACTGATTACTTAATCAAGTTTCTTAGTCTAAACCCTGATTATGAAATGGTCAAAACCCAGCTGTTAATGCAGAAGCCTTTGCCTACAGTCTCTACTGCACTTGATGACTTACTGCAACATGAGCAGAAACTTAAAGGAGAAGGAAACTCTGGTGTTAAAAAGTCACAATCTGTGGCTTTAGCAGTTGGAGGACAACAGAGCAAAGGAACTGAGGAATCAAGTCAGGGGAAGAAATATTGCAGATACTGCAAGAAGACAAATCATTACATTGAGGATTGTTGGATTTTAAAGAAGAAGAATGCTGATCAGAAGGAGAAATCTAGCAATTCAGGGTCTAATTCAAGTTCCAGTTCCAGTTCAAATACTCCAAGGTTTGCTGGTTCAGTGGTTCAAAATTCTACTTCAGAAACTCAGTCAGAGGGAAGCATAAGTACTGAAAGCAACATGGTACCCAACCCACCTGGATTCACAGCTGAAGAAATGAATCGTTTGAGATACATGTTGCAGATTGGTGCTAATTCTTTCCCATCACCACCTACTTCACCTACCATTAACCATCAAGACTATTCTGTTTCCCAATATTTGCCTTCATATCGAAGCCACTCAGGTAAATACACTTTGTCTACCTTTAAACCAAACCCTACTCATTTACATAATTTGTGGATTTTAGATACAGGAGCATCTGACCATATAGCCTGTAGCTTATCCCTTTTCACAGACCACAAATCTATCCCAAATTCTTTTGTCAACCTTCCCAACAACACACAAGTGTTAGTTACACACATAGGAACAGTCAATTTACCTTCAGGATTGATCCTTTGTGATGTGTTGTGTGTGCCTAGTTTTACCTTTAACCTGATTTCAGTAAGCAAGCTTACACATGATTTACCTATCTCCTTACACTTTCAATCTGACCATTGTGCTATCCAGGACCTACTAAGTCAGAAGAAGATTGGTTTAGCAAAAGAAACTAAGGGCCTCTACCATCTCTACTTTCCATCAACTCAGCAACCATCCTCCAGTTCACACACTCAGCCTACTCAGCCTCATGTAGCCACACTTTTCAACTTCAATCCTCACCAACTAGAGCTGTGGCATTGGAGACTAGGGCATCCCAGCCATGAAAGACTAAACCTGCTTAGCCATAGTTTTCCAAATGTAACTAGTTCTAAGACAAAACACTGTGATGTTTGTCATTTATCCAAACACAAACGTTTGTCCTTTCCAATTAGCACCAATGTTGCACCAAACAGATTTCATTTACTTCATGTGGATATTTGGGGTCCATTATCAGTAACTTCTTATGATGGATTCAATTATTTCTTAACTGTTGTGGATGATTTCTCACGTGCTGTTTGGGTATATCTGATGAAACATAAGAGTGAGGTTAGATGTTTACTGGAAGGATTTTGCAATCTGGTTAAGAACCAGTTTGGTACAACAGTTAAGGTCATCAGAAGTGACCAAGGGAAGGAGTTTGCTATGTGTGATTACTTCTTACAAGAAGGCATTGAGCATCAGATGAGTTGTGTAGAGACCCCAGAGCAGAATGCTCGTGTAGAAAGGAAGCACCAGCACATATTAAATGTGGCTAGGTCCTTGAGGTTTCAATCAGGGATTCCACTTACCTTTTGGAGTGACTGTATCTTGCATGCAGTGTACCTCATCAACAGGATTCCCACACCCATTCAAGCCAATAGATCTCCCTATGAACTTCTATATGACAAACCGCCCTTTCTTTCTCACCTTAAAGTGTTTGGCTACTTATGTTATGCCAGCACATTGTCCCATGGAAGAACCAAATTTGCACCTCGAGCTAGACAGTGCATTTTTCTGGGGATTCCTTCTGGTATAAAGGGCTATAAAGTCTTAGACCTTCACACTAAACAGGTCTTCTTCTCTAGAGATGTTGTCTTTTATGAAAACATCCTCCCATACAAAATTTCTGAACCACCAAATTCCACTTCTACATCTCCTGAACCCACCTATACACCACAAACAAACAGTTTTGCTCCACCTATTTCTGTACCTTCCACACTTTCTTCTCAACCTTCTTCCTCACATACCAGCCCTACACCAGAAACCACTCCCTCTTCTACCTCTAGACAGTCTCAGATTGTTTCATCCTTCGATGAAGGGGGGACTGCTGAGCCTGTTTTGCCTATTGAAGGTCATTATGAATACTTTGAAAGTGACCAGCAGGAACTTATATCTCAGGCTGACCATGATGTTGATGAGCATAATGCTGATGGTAATTACTTACCAAAAAGGAAAGTCAACTTACCATCCAAGTTTCAGGATTATCAACTGGATCCTTCTTTCAAATTTGGAGCCTTTGGTAAAGCTAATGCTTCTACCAGATATCCACTTTGCTTAAATGTTGATGGACTGAACTCAGTTGACAGGCATTATGTTTTGAGTGTGATCAATATGCAAGAACCTAGGTCATACTATGAGGCTATACAGGATGATATCTGGAATCAAGCAGTCAAGTCTGAGATTTTTGCATTAGAAGAGAATCAAACCTGGGACATTGTAGAGCTGCCAAAAGGGAAGAAAGCAATAGGAAATAAGTGGGTGTTTAAGATTAAACTTAAACCAGATGGCTCACTTGAGAGGTGTAAGTCAAGACTTGTAGCCAAGGGTTTCAACCAGGTCTATGGGATCGACTTTTTGGACACTTTCTCACCTGTTGCTAAAATCAACACTGTTAAAGCACTGTTAGCAGTGGCAAATGTGAAGAATTGGGTTTTGGAGCAGTTAGATGTATCTAATGCTTTCTTACATGGTGAACTGCATGATGAAGTATATATGAAGATCCCATTGGGAGTTGAGGTATCTAATCCAGAAGGTAAGAACCTTGTTTGCAGACTGAAGAAGTCTTTATATGGGCTTAAACAAGCCTCCAGGCAATGGTTTGCTAGACTTACAGGCTTTCTTCTCAAGAATGGTTTTTCTCAATCAAACTCTGATTATTCCCTTTTTACTAAGTGGGTGCATGGAAGAGTAGTTGTCCTGTTAGTGTATGTGGATGATATCATCCTGGGAGGAGATGCACAAAAGGACATTGAGCAGGTTAAGTTAGCTCTAAGCAAGGAGTTTAAAATCAAACTACTGGGGCCTCTCAAATACTTTCTGGGTTTGGAGGTTGTTAGAAGTGATCATGGTCTTGATGTGTGTCAAAGGAAGTACTGTGTTGAACTCCTGAAAGACACAGGCTATCTGGATTCAAAGGGATGCAAATCACCTATGGACACCAAAGTGAAACTGTCTACTCAAGGAACACCAATGGAGAATGGAGAAGCTTATAGGAGATTGGTTGGTAGGTTGCATTACTTGACTATTACCAGGCCTGACATAGCTTTTGCTGTGCAGCAGCTTTGCCAATATCAGAAGAATCCCTGTCAGGAACACATGCAAGCTGCTTATAGAGTTTTGAGGTATTTGAAATCATCTCCAGGTCAGGGAATTCACTTCAGCAGTAAGAATGAACTCAAACTGACTGGTTACTGTGACTCAGACTGGGCAAGCTGTCCAGACACCAGGAGATCAACAACAAGATACTGTACTTTTCTTGGTGATTCATTACTGACTTGGAGAACAAAGAAGCAGACTACAGTGTCTAGATCCTCCTCTGAAGCAAAATATAGAGCTTTGGCTCATGTTGTATGTGAAGTACAGTGGTTAAAACAACTCCTAGTAGAACTGACAGTGAAGGTACCTCTGCCCATTCCCATATTTTGTGACAACAAATCTGCAATCTTTATTGCAGAGAATCCAGTGTTCCATGAGCGGACAAAACACATTGAGATAGACATACATGTGACCAGGGATCGGATTAAGAGTGGTTTGATCAAACTGTTACATGTTGGAACTACTAACCAGCTGGCAGATCTCTTTACTAAGAGTCTTGACAGGTTTCGAATGAAGGAATTGCTGATCAAGTTAGGTGTCACCAATATGTTGGAGCCACTAACTTGAGGGGGGATATCAGACTTGAAGGAAATCACAGAGTTGC